TTGTATCATCTGTAAGCCCCCAAAATCTGTCATGTTCCATTAACATCTGTCCAGAATGCATATATTGCTGATATATCACTTGCTAGTGTTGTCCCCCAAACACCTGGAATAACTGCCACCACAGAGAATATTCTACTGTTTTGGCCCCAACAGACATACAGTAGATGGTTGCTGTTAAATTGTTCATGTGTCAGAAATGGATGCCATAACTACACTGTCACCTCTTTATGCATTACATCGGCATTATATGTTCTTATAACTTTAAATATTGACATTTTAGATAGATAAGAGTTGGCTTTTTCTTTTTTATTATTAAAGCTTCCATTATTTTTAGTCTTTTTTTGCAGGTGGATGCAGTTAATATATTTACTAGTAGAAAACACAAATATATTAACAATATATATTATATTAATATATATAATATTATATTATTATGAAAAAGCCAACTCTTAACAATATTAACTACGAACAAAGCCACAATGTGCTAACCATATTCGGAAATTAAAAACATCCCTACCACACACTAAGACATACACAGAATGCTCACACTCAATTAAGCTGAAAAATCAATTCATCTTTGATAATGGCTAAAGGTATAGCCGAAAGTGCTCGGAAATATAAAACATCTTCTTCCACACCCTTTCTCCAGAAAAGAAAGCTCTTGTTAGAACACAAGAAAAATTAAATAAAAAGTTTAACCATAGTACCTTGTCTGTCGTTTTTTTTTATATATATATATATATATATATATATATATATATATATATATATATATATAGGAACAGATATATTAAATATCAAATGGGATATTGAGTTCAAAACAAAGGTGCCAACAGTGTTTCATGCCCTGAAGATTGTATTCAAGCATGAAACAGACTGTCACCTCAGTGTCCACTCATATATATATATATATATATATATATATATATATATATATATATATATTACAGGTAATAGATCCGTTGGTATATAATCCAGGTTGATCCTAGTAATATCAGATATTAAAATTGATCCACAGAGAGATCTCAATGTATTTATTATAACAGAGCATATATATTATACAGCAAAAAATCCCAAATTACCTTATGTGGGTATAGTCTATTTCAAACTGACACAACCTTATGCCAGACTTCCTCACCCCTAGACTGACTGTCTCAGAATCAAGGGTTTTGAATTTAGTTTAGATAGCAGTTGGGGAGAAAGAAGCCTGGTTTGGTGACAAATACGAAGCTTAGCTGATCAAACATAATAGACATTCGTTGTCTGTTATATATTTAACAATATATGTTTGAATAGTGATCTGCTGCAACCACTACACTAATACTTGCTTTTTAACTTTGTGTATGGGTTGTGTGTATGTTTCTAGAGTTATAGGGATGTTTTATTTTCCGAACACAGTCAGCACATTGTGACCATGTTCATAGTTAATATTATTGAGTGTTAGCTTTTTCTCTTTTATTATTAAGATTTCTTTTTCTATTATTAAGGCAAAAATAAAATCATCCTTGATAATGGCTAAAAGTATAGCCAAAAGAGCTTGAAATTACAGAAGATTTGAATAGTTTCTACACACTCTGTGTCTAGAAAAGAAAACACTTGTTCAAACACAAGAAAAATTAGATAAAAAGCTTAATTGCTGCACCTTGTCTGTTGTCTTTAATAAAACATTTATAAATGAGGGATTGCTGCCTATATATATATATATATATATATATATATATATATATATATATATATATATATACTCGATTCTCCTGTCGAATTCAACGATGAGGTCAGGCAGATCAGTTCCTAGGAAAACATTGACAGCCTGGTGCACTACGTGCCACAGGGTCCCCAAACGACCCTCCGCAGGTTTTGAATTCAGAGTTGTCCTTCTCCTAGACCAGTTGCCATCTAAGGCTATAGAACCAAGTCTTTCCTTCTAATTATCCATAGCTGGAGGGAGAAGAGGATTCATACCTTTCCCAAGGGTATTAGCACGTAAATGAATGTAATGGATTCAACAAATTCTAACTCTCTCCAATTCCTCAATCCATTATTCCATGTGCCTCCTCAATATATATATATATATATATATAGTATTAAATTATAAGAGTGTTAGGTACCAAAATTACTGGTTCTTTTGCTATAGTTTATTGGTGGAAAGGTATTTTGGGAAGGGAGCTTTTTGTCTTAAAGTACTTGATATCAAAAGTTAAGGATAGAGTGTTGAAACAATTAATGTGTAGAAATTTGTCACTTAACTGAGTACCTTTATTTCAGTCATGCCGACTTTGAAGTTTCATCAGTGACTTGTTGTAATACCTTCACTCTTCAGAGCTATTGGCTTTTCTGCTGCTACTTCTCAAACTTTTTTTTATTTATGCATACTTTGGTGTAATTTGATATATGTGTGAGTGTGTGATTTTTTTCACTTAATGGGTGTTGTATTTTTATCTGTAGGTTTTTAGCTGTTTTTTAAGTGGTGTAGTGTTTCTTGGTGATTGTTTGCTTTGTC